GACCGCGTCGTCTCCCCGGTATAATTAGTACTCGGTTACCAGAAGGGTAGGTTCAGTGGGACGATGAGGAGGTGGGGGTCAGTCGTTCGGTTACCACCGATACCGTAATTAGTTTTACCCCGAACGAGCGTAACTAGGATTTTGTTGAAAATACGCTGCCACGGCGATGGTCCGTTGGCCGGTTGCCCGCAACGAAATACGTCCGGGACGCGAATGGCTGAAAGAAATTGGAGGCAGGTGGATTCGATAGTGTACTGTTACCTTGGAATTAATTCCTTTTTTTCTGGTTCGGTGTAGTGGATGTTTAGTAGGTCTACATTCGGGGGGAAGATATTGAGAAGACTTCGTCTGATCAGAAAAGATTCGTCTTCTACTTGTTGAACTAGGACTAGCACCTTCTTTTCATATTTCTTTCGCCTGGTAGTGGATGGACTTGTGTCTACATTATGTCCTACTGATCTGACGCGGGACGGTTTCTATAATCGTTCTAGGATGTATGACTGACCACATATTGGCAGTCTCTGTCCATGTAGTGTTCCTGTACTACTTGTCTCACCACTGACGACATTACCTTTGTCCAAGAATACCGTCTACACTACTTCTTTGAGTAGAAATGAGTTCTGTACTTTTTTTGTCCAGCAGTGCTCACTATGTCGCGTGTCCGACATAAATACATTTATACTACTTGTTGAACCAAGGAGATTCCACACATCACTTCTTTGACATGGTATGCATCCTGTTCTATTACCCCATGTTCTACTTGCCTAACAAGGAATGTTCTTATACTGGTTGTCTGACAAGGACGAGCCACATACTATTTGTCTGATAAGGAATATAATCTATACCATCTGCCTGAAAAATAATGTTCGTATGCAAGTTACCTAGTAAGGGATTTCGTTACACCACTTGTCTGGTAAGAGATAAGTATACTACTCGCCTGACCAGAAATTTGTCGTGTACAACTTCATTGATCAGACATAGTTTTTGTACTACTTGTATGGCCAATAAAACCGCGTACATCTTCTGTCTAATGAAGAAGAATCCGTATTTTTTCATCTGAGTAAGAATGCCTCCTGGATTACTTATCCGACTAAAAATTTCTTACTGAATTAGAATTACTTATTGACGATTCCAATTGTACTGTATTAAGGGAAGAAATTCTCTATATTTGATTTGCATAACACACAATTGTCTCCATTAAAAATAACTGTGAATGTTTAACTCGCCATTTCTTTAAAATTTCACGTATCTCAACGTAACGAACCAAACTCTCTTGAACCAGTCTGCTTTAAGAATCCCTTTCTCTTCTCCCCTCGCGTTCCCCCGACCGTTTCCGCGTTTTAGGGTAATACAGTGGGATCTAAGGAACATTTTTCATCGTGCAAGTGTTTTCTTTTTTTACTTGTCCGCTGCTAATTCACACCGCCCACAGTCCCTACGGTCCGCTTGTTAGATTGCTCCAATCCCCCACCACCTTTCCTCCCCTTCTTCTCCCGTACCTCCGTCCGGACCGGCGTTGGCTGTGGGGCCGCACTTTGTTCCCTTCCAAGCTGGATGCAATTTTAATCTCGAATTCCGAGAAAATTACCTCGCCGTCAGAGCCGTTTAAGAGGCTACTAGGTGAGATTGCCCCTGCTACCTGTCAGCCCGCCTGACATATACTATATTATGTAGCGAGATCAGCTTCCCTCGAAACTATTTTCGTTTCGCCTAATTTCGCGCCCGTTATCGTTTATCGTGCCGGCGACTGCGCCGCCCGTTACTTGAGCACGGTTACCACCCTACCGTCCGACGGTCTTTGTCTGTATTACGTTCATCAGCTTGAACGAACGAACCGTTCCGTTCCCTTCAGCGAAAAATCGTACGACGGTCGGTTAATGAGACCTCTCAAGCTCGTGATGAAGAACTGGGAACATTGAGTCCGGGAACACGTAACCAGGGTTCAGGGATGATGATCCGCATTGGGGGGATCTGATGGATCAAGAAAGAAAAGGCTACCGTGATTAATAATAATAGTAACAATAACGACTTTATTGCCACATACATAAATAGATGGACATGGCCGATGTACAGCGTACAAGCTGGATCACAACCTGATCCTTTACAGTAACTACACACGCCTCTCCCATATACCGTAACACACGCTCCAAAATAAACCTTTTCTAACCGCGACGCTTCACTAATCGACGTTTCGGAACCGGGCGAGACGGACGTCGTTGTCAGGGAATTGCACTCGGGGCGGAATAAAATTGGCCCGTCAAGGTGACTGTGTAGGCCTTCTTCCAGCGCTTCGTATATCTGTTGGCTCGAAGAACTAAACTAAAGAGGAAAGTATCATTTTCACTGTTGAGGATTTCGTGTTTAAGCCGTGTCCTTTTTGGAATTAATTTCGCAAGCATTGCAGCTAGCTTCATCGGTGGTCAAATGACGCACTGATACTGGTGTGTGCTTTGTGGTATTTTACTATTATTTAATTTGGAGCCTGTTTATTTGACGTTCATTGTTTACCAATCAACCATCATTTTCAATTTTTCAGCTGACCAGTGGAACACCACCAGGCACATACCGATATCAGTGTGTCACTTAACTCTTCATGAAGCTAACCGGAATGCTTGCAAAACAATGGAAAATTAATTTACCCGAAAATCTCAACACTGAGAACTGTATGATGTTGGGAGGTGAAAGCCAGAAATCTCTGATTAAGGGGAAAGTATTCGACGACATGTCGGTTAGGTATATACAGAAGTGCTGAACGTCACAGTAAATGGAACATCTGATCCCCTTTTCCTTCAATTCCCAGAGTGATTAAAAAATTTCAGCCTACTATATATGTTCTCAGGTATTTACACTCCTGTCCATAAGAATTATAGCACTTACCAAATAAAAATTAAATAACAAAGGTATTACAAGATTAATGAAAAATCTGAAATCAACATAGTTTACAAGATATTCAAGTTCCATAAGCAACATTTATGCTAATATAAAATATCAGAAGTGACCCAAAGGGAATTTCAAATTTCTATGATACGTCATGTTTCTTCCATACAGTTGGTCACAAAAATATTTGGACACCTATATAATTTGACTCAAGTGCTTTGTATTCTAAGTCACAGTTCAATAAATAAAATCAATGTATTATGCTACATTATGATCTCTACAGAACAAATACACAAAAATGCTGTACTCATCGTATAAGGTTGTTTGAATAATACAAGAGAAAAGGACGAGTAGCTGATTCTTAAGTCACAAAAATATTCTGACACTTAGTAAACGTAACAGTTTCCCAATTCCCAGAAACACATAGCAAAACGTTAATTGGTATCACTGAATCATTAGTGTCTTAATATTTATGGACAGCAGTGTACACTTCAATGTATCAACTATTAGACAAAAACCGAGATCCATGATACGGTGATGACCTTGAGAAGCCAATAAGTTCCTTTCTGAGTGTAATCAGCCCAGAAGACGTTACGTGGACGCGTGCAGGCTATATCGTTCTCGTTCATCTCTCGATCGTCGCTCGGTAACACGCTTTTGCTTTTGTTCTTCGGGGCCAAAGGAACTGCATATCGTTGCCTATCGACTGGCCACGCGAACATTTACGTAAAGAAACCAGGAGGCGATAGGGGAGGGTTGGGTGCCTAACGGGGGCGAGGACAGACAGGAACGAGATGACAATTCAATGATCAGTCGTTGCCTACCAGTGATCGGTCACTTTTATTGATATACAAGATATACATCACGGAGTAGCGTCGCCGACAATGCTACGTACACACACGGCACGGAGCTCGAGAAATGGCTGCTGATTTTTAACCCTTTAGCTGAGATTCACGTGTCAGCCGTTAAGCAGCTTCGTCAAAATCAAAGACGTGATTTACGCGCTTCTGGTATTCAGTTATGAATAGAGTGCGGATTCTTATGCAAAATCACATTTTCCAAAGTACTTTACACAGACAAGAGCAAATATTTCTTCCATCTTTTAAGTAGCTTAACGGGTTCAGAGTAAAATTAAAAATTCGTTGAATCTGATGAAACTTTGATCTTTCATTGTATGTTACTGAGCCCTGTGCGATTTATGGCAATAAATGCACGAAATCCGCAGTCTAGTTATGAATGAGCTGATGGGAAATAGTATTTGATATTCACATTAAGTGTAATGCAAAAGTAATGGTCGTCATGTTTAAGCTGGGATTATTTTCTTATATATTATTGAACGATAACATTCAAATGTTTTTTCTTTTTCAATCAGTAGAAAGGATACCTACTACACAGACGCGTCAGCCAAGTCCTCTCCAAGTGCACGAGTATCCAATAGATTCTGAAAATCACTCTTCCAAACGAAAAGATTTCATTCTCCACTTTCGACTAATTCCTTCAGAACAGCTCACCTCCTTCTACCCTTTCAGCTGCACCTTGTAAGTACGCCGTTCATACATGTTAATGGACATGTAAGAGCATATACACATGCTTTTAGCAGCCAGAGGGTTAAACACCATAAACCGGGTAAGATAGACCAAGTGGACACGATCATCTTCCACCTAACTTCCCCCCAGACTCCATCACCCGAGCTCCGTATAGTACCATTGGACCCGCACGGATGCTGTATACCCCGTTTCGAGGCTCGAGTGTCCTCCACGGAGGAGCCTACCTATCGGGAACGTAACAATTCCCCCGTGTTCAGGTCCAGCGGTTCGAAAGAGCACAGAAGGGATAGCCACTGCGCCGTTCTAGAACGGAAACACCAGCGAAAAGCGAAAGGCCTCGGGCGATCTCGGGACACCGACTACCGTACACACACGCACACACTGCGTCACCTGCTCGGATCTCTACGACATTCCCGCGTCAGTCTTTGTCCTTGTTACGACAGACTCGTCCCATGTAGGTTCCATACGGGAAAAGGGTTCACGACCCCTGGTCACGCCGGGAGGACCGATATGGGGTCCGCGAGTGGAACCCGTTCAGTTCCGAATTTATTCGCGTCTGGGCCACGTCACGGCGTATTAGCAAATCGATTTGTCCGCCTGACAGGCTCCTTCGGACCTGGCCAGAAACAGTTTACCATTAGCACAGGCGCACAACTGGTATATCGTCGTGTCCCTTTGACTTTGATGGGAAGACGTCCTGGAGGAGTGTTGCTGTTGCTGTTGTTGCTCTCTCGACGAGTGACCTTGACTTGGACTTGCTGTTTTCAGGCCTTTCATGTAGACGGTCTTCGCGTCCAGCCTGATTGCACCGTGAACGCTCTGGAGCTTCAGGTCGGTCAGGCAGGAGGCTGAGATCTCGTTCGCCCAAGACTCGATCACCACACGCTGCGGAGCGCTGATCTTCAGGGACCTGGTCGCTGACTCGAGTCTGTTGACAGGCAGCAGGTTGTTATCGTTAGATTCGGTTCTGGTAGGAAGGTGTTGGGTGAATATTGGAGAAGCTTCAAAGTGTTAGTGGCTTTCTATCTGACAAGATGTTTCATTGATATCTCTGATGACGGAAGGAATCTTTAGGATGTAAGTATTGAGTATGTAGAGATTAATAAGTTTAGAATTGATAACATTAAATGATTTCGATATGTCAGTTCACTCTTATGTTATATTATTTAATATTAGGTGTCCAATGACATATCGCCAGCTACGAAATTACTAACGGAGTAGTACTTAATTGCCATGGAGTCTCAGAATAGCTCACGTTCTTCTCAACGCTGTCAATTATAATAGAAGAACAGAGACGGCAAAGAAATCGGTACGAAAGGGTAGCTGCGCCCGGGGAATGGCACGAATACTGAAAAACGCAACGCAATATCGCGCGACAAAATAATGCACCCACTCGACAGCAAACGACTGACTCGCAATAATCGATCCTCTTTTCCAAGAAGTGGCGAAGCGGCGTCTTCGACCGTGCTTCTCTTCCAATACTATCCCAGCCCCCAACCCTCCACCCGGCCTATTGCATCGAACTCCAGCCATCGTGCTCGGGAATCCCCGGTATTTCATATCTGGCATAAATCCAATCCTATGAATATAATTTTCCGCCCGAGCAAAGTTTTATTGTAATCGTAAATCCGTCTGTAAATTACCCGACACTATCAATAACCGCAGAACCAGCGCCCCGTGGTTACCGGTCGGACCATCTCGTTCTTACGAGCATTCGATTTCTACCGTCGTGATACATCGATTCCGCCGTTCCAAGAATCATGGTGACTGCTTGGTTTCGGTTGGTGGATCGAGGTGGTTGACATTTTCACGGTGGAACGAATCGGTGGATGAAGAAATTCGTTTTTAACCCATTTGCCTTACGATTACTTTTTTACTCCTGTAGTCTCTAGAATTACTTTATTGTTAATAGTTAGCAAGAAACAAATAGAATTCTATATTTAATGAAAGTGTATATTTACTGTAGAAGTTAAATATTTGTACTAGTAAAATGGTCTTACACTTGAAGGAAACGAATAATATTGATTTTTATTAAACCCAGTTTGAAATCGCGATTATAAATATAACTGGCTGCTGTGTGTAAGCTACTATAATTGCATATTACTGTATATATAATTTAATATAATTGTATTTAATCTGATATAATAACTGTATCTAATCTACTATAATTTAATTATGAATAATTGTTACAACATTACGTGAAATAAGTTATATATTTCTATTTTACTGAGGTGTGAATGTAAATATTTTTACAAAACTGTCTTGGAAATTAGGACTCTTTTTTTTAGCTTGACTACAGCGAAACATAAATTTGTGCCTCTGGCCTTAAGGTGTTAAGATATATATGTTAAAAATAATGGAAGTAAGGAACTTACAGAAACTGAAGCTGATCAATTTCGCTTCTTGGTGAATCAAACGTGGAAGATGATTCTACAAATTTGTGTTCGCTTGTACTTATGTAAACAATATTTCTAACGTAACCGTAACGTTTAATTTAAATTATCCTTTGAATATACAATACTACGATAGACGCGAACAAACTTCATTTACGAAAAGAACAAAAGCTACCCCGGAATCTTCAAAACCTCACATGTAAAATCCAAGTATTTTCTACTTTCATTATTCATCATTTTATCCATAATATTAACAGAAAAGTAATTCATTCCCCAAACAATCCTTCGCCAACACCGTCCATCGTGTTTCGATATCCGTAAAACTCACGTTCTAAAATCATCCCGAGCATCGAGCATTATCCCTGAATTCCCGGCCCGATTATTTATAGCAGCGAACAGAAGGTAGGCCGATGAACATCGGAACAGCCCCCGAATCGCCCAGTTATTTGTGCACGTTTGTATCCGTGTCTCTCTCTCCATCAAGAATGATTACCGAACAGATAGAGAAAGCGGGACCGAAAATGTACCGTGAGTTTCTTGAACTAGGTCGAGCCTACTTTTAGACGTTCCGGAAATAAATGCAGGACAAAGACATGCACCGTTCACGGGGAGATCACTGTGTTCACGGGCCATGAGCTGAGCACGCTTCGATATTGATGCACGGTAAAAAATTCAGCGAATCATTTCGGTTTTGTTTCGTGGTGGGGCAGAGAGGGGGAGGTCTGTGGAGGTAGAAAGGAAAAATTCTGCTTTTGTCTTACGATTACCTGAGACCACGGCCCGATTCCCCTCTGACCAGGGGCGTTTGTACGCTGCCCTGGAAAACGGCACCCCCGTCGCCTGTTACCCTCAACATCTCCGCACCCACCACCACTTGCTCCCTGTCCGCCGAGAAGAGAATTCCACCTCGAGGGTCAGTTATCCGGAAGCCTCTCGACACGCAGTCCACGCGATCTTCGCCTGCGAACGAACAAAAGACAAGCCTTTCATTACTTACACGCTATCCTACCAGCTTGACGCGGAAATATGAAATTCTTCCGGGTGGGAAGAAGTGGGATCACGCGTGTTTGAAATGTCCGAACAGCTGTAATGGGGGATGGAGCTTTTGTTGGGATAATAGGGGAATAGTTGATGCGAAAATAGAAGCGATTTGGTGGGATTAGGGATGACAATATCACTATCATTTATATCACTTATCGTAGATTGATATATCATATATGTCACTTATTATTATATCCCTTATTGTAGTTCATATACAGGTTGTCGTATAACTGGTGCTACAACCGGATAGGGAGTGATTCTGCTTGAAAAAAATATGAAATCAAAATTTTTCATCCGTGGCTTAGTTTTCGAGAAAATCGATTTTAAAGATTCATCTGTAACGCGTGTATTCCATTTGAGGGTAACTAGAAACGGACAATGAACAGACGGGCTAGACATGTCCTATTCAATTGCACGCGTATCCAGTAGATTTTCACAGTCGATATTGTCGGAAATGAAAATTTAAATGAAAAAAATTTAATTCTACATTTTGGATTAATTTTTGCATGTACAATCGCATGCTCTCGGGTTGTACCACCAGTTACAAGATCAGCAGCAGATGGCAGTAAGAATGGGAAGAAATAAAGTGTATGATTTAATTTTGGGTTAATAAAGTCAACCCTGACCAATACAGAAATCTCAAATAAATATTTCATCAAATCTTGTAGTCTGAAGTTAAAAGAATGCAGTAAATCCTCTATTAACCATCTTAAACCACGGTCTACATTACTTACATTTTTTCCAGTTCTGTATTTTACCGACTGACTTAATTCGAGCTGTAAAATATTTTAGGGAAAATATTTCCGACGAGGAATGCTTAAACGTCTCCTTTTGGTTGCACAGAGGGATCTCCACTAAGGACAAAACTCGTGTCGTATTTTTTTTTATGTATAAAAAGGACGAATTGAACGAATCCCATTGTTTTCGATGACCGTTTAAAATACCGATTCCCGTCGACGTTAAATACATTGTACCCGCAAGTCTTTAACTCGGAGAGATTGTTGCGGGATTCGATTTTATGGCTGAAAAACGCTCGTATCCATTAACGGGCGCATCTGCCTGTACAGTGTTGCATGTTATCGATATTCGAATTCGTCCTTTTGTTCTATGCGGTACAAGGACACGGAGAAAATAGAGGGTTCCATTTGGGAGGAAAAAAATCCTCGTTTACTGCGAGACGTTTTGTAAATGCTGGAGCCTTGACAAAAATCATTGTTCTCAGATATTTAGGCCTCGTTATCCTTGATGGGACTTTCTCTTTAACACAATCGAGCTTTCTTTGTTTATCTTTCTCAGCCTGTTACGATTAATACTGGAATATCAGCCGGTAATCTTCCACAAAGAAAAAGTACGAAGTATGAGAACATAGCTCAATTTAATAATTCTATACAGGGTGATTAGAATAAAGAGTCCAAGATTTTAGGGGCTTATACTACTTACAGAGAGGAGTAAAAAATATGCAATTAGCTTCAATACTTACGAGCTTACGATATCGTCAGCCCTTTCGCAACATTTTGAATGTAAACCGAATTGGTTTAGAAGTATATTAATACAAGATTGTATGAAAAAAGGCACTAGGAGATACGGAAAAAATACTTCGAAATGTACGTTGATCTACGATTCGCAGATGTGAATTCTGTATTCAAATGGGAGGCAGACATATGGAACATCTACAACAAAGGTAAAAAGAAGCCCATGAAATCTCAGACTCTTCTTTTAATCACCCTGCATAAAATTTCATTTGATGCGCTGTATGGTGGTATTGAACCTGTCAACTTCTCTAATTCAGATAAACCGAAAGGAACGTAATTAGGTCGTTAGTTAGAGACATAGTTCGCTCGACGAGATCAGAGAATCATACGTAGATTAACAAAGATGCAGAATTTAAAGGCTTAAACGAGAATCAAACTGCATAGTCGCTCTCAATTTAAACGTTCAGAAATAAACCAGAACAATTTCTCACCGACTGTCAATCGCGCGAGTAATCTGCCGTCGTGGGACCTGGCCGATGCGGTGAAGTTGCTCCACGACTCCAGGATCAGATTCTTTCCCCGTCTCGATCTCAAACTGGATGCGACAAGGGCGTCGAGAATGGCTGCCTGGCCTCTGAGCTCGATCCCTCCGGGCACCACCTTCAGGGAGCCGATTCCCTCCTGAAAGAAGAGGAAATGACTGTCAGGAAATAAACGGGGGTGAGAGGGGGTGGGATTGGAGGGGAGGGCGGGAGTATTCTGTCGATGCTTCCTGGGTCGGCCAGCCTGATCGTCGATGAGAATAGAACCTTAGGCCTCTCGGTATTAAAATTCGTTTCGCCCGCGTCCCTGACTCCCGCTTCCGTTTCCTGTCCGTCCATTTTCATCCCCTTAACCCCGCGTCCACACCCGTTATCCGTTCGTTCCCCCTGTTTTCACGTGGTCATACCGCGAGAAGAGATATACATTTTGATGTAGTTTCCGCGGTCATGATTCAACAGGACGAAATTAAAGACCGTCGGCCGACATTATTGCCGGTTCAGACGGTTGAATAATAAATGCGACGATGAGGTGCGCGATGCCGAACGGCGCCATCGTCCCGTTCCCCCGAGCCACCGTTGAAATATCTCCCGTATAATATTGGAACGATGGCGTAGGCAGAATTTTATTTCGAGCACCGTTCGTCCTAGCCGAGTCGACGACGGGGACCAGGCTGGTTCGAGTGTATCGAGCGGAACGATGGCGGGCGGTGTCGCGCGGAGACGAACATAGAAACGCACCCATAAAGTAGATACTAGCATAGTGATCTACTTGCTGGTCGTCTCGTAAACTTATACTCCCGGTGCGGTGGAGCTATTTTTGCCTATAGGAACGCAATTTCAGTTTTGTGTTAACATTAATTGCTATACGACGTTGAAAATCGCGTCCCTACCCTCTCTGTTCCCTTATTCTTTCGAGGGAAAATGCTGTTCCCCCGAAGGACCTACCCAGCGTGTTGATCGACCGTTTATTTTTTTTCCTTACGGATAAACGTCGATAACGCGTAGTAATTGCATTTCAAGTATCGACTGGGCTTATCGTCGCGGGGGGCAGGTGAACGTACGAGAAACGGAGGAGAAACGGTGCGGACGACCTTAAAACTCGGGGCTCGAAAAGCTACTTCCTTTCCCTTGGCATCGACGACCGTGCCGCTTCTCCCCACCTGCCCCGTCTACATTGGTTTCCGATGATTAGCCACTCGATTGGAAGCAATCGCCACGCATATACTGTCCCGTCCCGCCGTTTCCACTTATTATCGCGATTGTTCGGGACGAAATGTTGCAGTTGGGTAGACGCCAGTGGACCGCGATGGAATTCGGACTACTGGCTTACCGAAGTCGGCCCGAACAACTGCCTTTACGGTTTTCTGGGTTTAGTGGGAGTGGATGTACCGCACCAGGCATCGCGAGACGCTTACAAACGATCCGGTTAAGTGGTCGATTTCGTTCCTACGGCGTAATACTGGACTTCGGGGTCCGTGGTTTTGATAATGTGACATGTGTCCTGTGTCTGAGCTCGTTAGTTTATTTTTAGTGGATACCGATAATATAATTGTATGTAATTTACCAGAATTTCAGTCTGAACTATAGTAACGAATTCTGGCCTACACAACTATATTGTGCGTAGTGGGTTACATTTGTGTAGTTAAGGATTAAGTATGAACAATGGTTCCAGCTTTCTGTGAAGTGATTATTTCAGTATGGTATAAATATAAATATTTGGACAGATTTGTTACTTTCTGTATCTTAGTACTCTGTTCTTCTGAGATTTCAATTTTTAGCTTTGGACTTATTTTAAGTTTCTAGTAAATAGGATATATGTCTATATGACTTTCATTTTATTATTCTCAACTCTTGAATCCATCTCTGAAGTGGGTTCGACATATTATAAAACATCCCGTATACAAATATCATCGTTCCTATTTTCTTTAAATCATGGTACTGTTTAAAGAAACGGAAGTGAAATTGAGTCAAAAAAACCTTACACGACCAGAATATTTAGATCGTGAACAGTTTACTCTCCCTAAGATACGAGTTTTAAATGTCCCAATTTCTTCAAGCTTCTAGTTATTCGAACAAATGAATCGTCGATCGAAACAGTATCATTGGACTTCTTCTACAGACACTCGAGACCGGTGCGACGTATTCCAGTTCCTACTTCCGGTTCTTCCGGGTCGTCTTCCGACCGTACGACGATCCTAAAAAGCAGCCGTCGCTACGGCCCTCTCGATGCCATTGGGGTTTACGATTACGGTTAAGTACAGGGCAAAAGAGCTCGTATCGTTTTCCGAACGATTTGGCTAATCGAGTGGCGCCACGATGGAAAGCTAACCGCGCGGCCCGGTAGCTACGCGCATCCGGTCCAATGCCACGGGCGGTTCCGGCTGTCGGGAATTTAAACAAGGATCAGGGCGTCGCTGCCGTGGACGCCGGCTTTTTCTGATAATGGCCGCGATTGTTTCAATTTGCGGCACCGTAGAGGAAGCCCATTCGACGCGTTCGGAATTGTGAATCCAGAGACAGAGTTTCGTGCTACTGAGAAATTATCATTTCTCAGATGCTGATCTGAGCTCTTGAAGACACCACGATACCTTAGAGCCAGAGATGGGCAAACTAATTATCTAAATAAAAAGTTTCGAATAACGAATAAAAGATAAAAAAAATATTTCGTCATTTTTAATTATTTAAACGTGGAAATTTCAATTTTTATAATAAAATAATACTTTTTTATGAATGGATCTACATTTGTCGAACAATTATTTAATTTCATTGACTGTTTAAAGCTCAGAACGACACCCTTAGATACTACTGCTTTTCACGGTGTATTATTCGAATAAAATTCTACCCAATTCGGCTTAGAGTTCTCTTTGTAACTATTATTGTAATTATATTTAATTGGATAGTGTCGGAGAAAGTGGGTCTTCACAGGATCCAAACGGATACCCAGATCGCTTTGAAACACGAATGCCCGACATTTGGTATTCTTGTAACTGAAAGCGTCTTTTGGAATTTTCTGCAAATTTTTCCGAACTGTGTCGGCTTGACTAGAGTTTTTTGTTTGATCGAAGTTTGTTAGAGGCAATTCTTAAGGTCTTAAGAGACGATTTCAGAAAAGCTTCTTGTCGAATTTATATAAATTAATTACAAATATCTAGTAACGAATGCTGAGTTACCGTGTATATTTGTTAATTAGAGTATATTGATAAGGGAAATAAGGTCTATTCGTGCCGTTATTACAGAAATAATCGTCAAATTGGGGGTCAATACGGGTCCGTGAGGTGATAGCAGAACGACCGATTGAAATCCAGCAATCGGAGTCGCGAAAATTAACGACCGGATATCCGACAGGCGACCAATTCAGTCGAACTTTCGCTCATCGTCCGACAAAATTAGGTCGGGATCGAATCCAATCGGCGGGATGGCGAACGTCGTTTCGAAACGACGTTATTTTCGGGAAACTTTCCAACGTTATACCGTGTCCTCTGTTCTATGGATTTATTGTTTGTGTCCAGTTAAAGGGAACGTTTGAGAACTCGTACGTGGACGCAATCTTTTCACTCGAAGTCACAGAATATACACATGTGGTCGACAGATCACCTGAAAAAATATTATTCTTCCTTTTCGACTTATTTTTTCTCATAAAATCAGCTGCTGCTCAGTTGTACTACTCGACCTGCGACACCCCATGTAATTTTCCAACCCGTCGTGAAGATCTAATAATAATAATTCCAGGTCACTTTGTACCAAAATGTTCTTGCAACTACGAGTTCCAAGTGGACAGAAACGTGAATAATTTTACCAGCACGTTCAAGAATCGCTTAACGATTCACGAGCGCGAAACGTTTAAGATCGCGCGAGCGGACAACCGGTTCGCCTGATATTTTCCTCAGGGTGCGCTCTCGAGATTCTTCGGATCCCGTTGCCCCATTGGGCGAGAGGAGGTGTTCACGAGAAGCGGAGCTCCGCTCGGAACGTAATGAAATCCAAATAACACCCCTCGCACGCGTATATCATCGTAACGACGCCCTCGGACGACGCTGCTCGGCTGCTCGTCGCCCATAAATTAATACAAAGCGCGTTATTTACAGGGTTCGGAAGAGAAGAAGGGTAGTTTCGCTTTCACGACCTCGCTGCAACCAGGCCAATCGAGGTGGCATCGTTCATTTTCTTCGCATGGATCGATCCTTAATATTTAATGATTTATAGCCAGATCTCCATTGAATTCTTGTTTATATTCCCATACGTTTGTATCATGCACGAACGTGGGTTCTTCTTCTGTTTGTTTGTGTGCTGCAATGGTAAATCAAGGGTGTTTCTGAACTGGTGGTAGAAGTCGGGAGAATGTGATTCTTCATGGAAAAATATGCCGAAAATATAAAATAAAACTTTTTTTAAATCCACTGTCTTCCTACAAAATTGAACGTATATTTCCTCCTCTATCACGTTGTTAAAATGTGAGTTTCCTGAAAATATACAAATCGATAAATTCACGAACTTCTTTAAGGAAACTACTGCAACAAAAATTGCCAAGAATCTCACAAAATGTACTGTTATGACACTACAATAATTTCTGGTAGTTCTAGTATTACCGAATGCTCAGCAATCGGTATTCAATAACCACACTAATCCTAAGAACAACAAGAGACCACTTTTATTTTCTCTCACCCGTTACCCCACCATTTCCCCGACCTAACACCAACAGTAAACGAATCTTCAACAACCACCTTCAAAACATTCCAAACCAGCAGAAAATGACCATCCCTCACCTCTCCCTATTCCACGTTTCCCTCCAGCGTTCAAACGAGAGTCCGATCGGTTAAAATTCTCCTCCCCTCGATCTTTCCCCGTTCCCAATAAAATAACCTCTCCTCCCGAACGCGTTTCCGCATCTAAATTCCATGGTCGTATGCCCGGGCACATGGTAACATCGAGATTACTTCGTAGTCGTCGAAGCGAGGCGCAAACCGAACGCGTTCGACTACACGCCACGCTCGTGTTTCGCGATCGTTCCCCCACGTTCCTATCGGTGGGAGAAGATGCGTGTGATGTGGCGGCACGAGAGCGCTCGCGTACGCCAGAATAAACCGCGCATGGTAATCGTACATATGCAACTGGCACGTATGTATGTACATACGTGCCACG